CTTGAAACGAATAGGAAGCTGACCTCTTGGTCTAGACAAGACAGCTGCAACTGAACCCCCCACGCCTTAAGCCAAAACTGATGTTCAGGAAGCATGTGTATTCTTCCAATTTCAATTCACGGGACCCACAGTTAGAACATCGGCAGATGCACGGTTGTCCGGTTTGAACCCGAAACAAACCCCCCCCCCACCATATGTTTCAGCCCTCAACCGTTGAAAGTTCCCGATTTCCAGGCCCAACGCTTCCCAGGTTCCTCCCCAAACCCCACTCCCCCGCTAAGATTGCGGTTTAAAGCCGGACAAGCGTGCACTTGCCGATGTTCTAACTGTGGGTCCCGCTAATTGAAATAGGAGGAAAACACATACTTTCGGGAAAAAACACCTTTGGCGTAAGGCGTTGGGGTTTCAGTCGCACTGTGTTGTCTAGACCTACAGGTCAGCTTCCTATTCCTTTCTAGTGCAGCAGCACTCATTTTACTCTCACCGGCGGGAAGGGGGGGGGGAACCTGGGACATCGGCAACTTTGACGTTGGGGGCTGTTTAGGGCTAAAATCACAGCTGCAACTAAAATCCCCACGTCTCAAGCCAAACACAATTCTACAAAAGGCATGTGTTTTCTTCTTGTTTAAATTAACGGGGCACACAGTTAGAACATCGGCAGATGCACGGTTGCCCGGGTTGAGCCCTAAACAATCCCCCTCCAGATGTTGTAGCCCTCTAGCCTCAACCATGAACAGACCCAAAAGTGTCACGCCTACAAAAACAAGAGCAGTCCGCCCATGGTTTTAGACCTCAATCTGAAAGTTGCCGAGTTTCAGGCACACTTCCCTGGTTCGCACCCCCCCACCCCACCCCCGGTTAGAGTAAAACGAGTGCTGCCGCACTTGAAACGAATAGGAAGCCGACCTCTTGGTCTAGACAACACAGCTGCAACTGAACCCCCCACGCCTTAAGCCAAAATTGATTTTCAGGAAGTATGTGTATTCTTCCAATTTCAATTCACGGGACCCACAGTTAGAACATCGGCAGATGCACGGTTGTCCGGTTTGAACCCGAAACAAACCCCCCCCACCATATGTTTCAGCCCTCAACCCTTGAAAGTTCCCGATTTCCAGGCCCAACACTTCCCAGGTGCCCCCCAAACCCCGCTCCCCCGCTAAGATTGCGGCTTAAAGCCGGACAAGCGTGCATCTGCCGATGTTCTAACTGTGGGTCCCGCTAATTGAAATAGGAGGAAAACACATACTTCCGGGAAAAAAACCTTTGGCGTAAGGCGTTGGGGTTTCAGTCACACTGTGTTGTCTAGACCTACAGGTCAGCTTCCTATTCCTTTCTAGTGCAGCAGAACTCATTTTACTCTCACCGGCGGGAGGGGGGGGGGAACCTGGGACATCGGCAACTTTGACGTTGGGGGCTGTTTAGGGCTAAAACCACAGCTGCAACTAAAATCCCCACGTCTCAAGCCAAACACAATTCTACAAAAGGCATGTGTTTTCTTCTTGTTTAAATTAACGGGGCACACAGTTAGAACATCGCCAGATGCACGGTTGCCCGGGTTGAACCCTAAACAATCCCCCTCCAGGCGTTGTAACCCTCTAGCCTCAACCCTGAACAAACCCAAAAGTTTCAAGCCTATTTCAACAAGAGCAGTCCGCCCATGGTTTTAGACCCCAACCTGAAAGTTGCCGAGTTCCAGGCACACTTCCCTGGTTCGCACCCCCCCACCCCACCCCCGGTGAGAGTAAAACGAGTGCTGCCGCACTTGAAACGAATAGGAAGCTGACTTCTAGGTCTAGACAACACAGCTGCAACTGAACCCCCCACGCCTTAAGCCAAAACTGATTTTCAGGAAGTATGTGTATTCTTCAATTTCAATTCACGGGACCCACAGTTAGAACATCGGCAGATGCACGGTTGTCCGGTTTGAACCCGAAACAAACACCCCCCCCACCATATGTTTCAGCCCTCAACCCTTGAAAGTTCCCGATTTCCAGGCCCAACACTTCCCAGGTTCCCCCCAAACCCCGCTCCCCCGCTAAGATTGCGGTTTAGAGCCGGACAAGCGTGCATCTGCCGATGTCGTAACTGTGGGTCCCGCTAATTGGAATAGGAAGAAAACACATACTTTCGGGGAAAACACGTTTTGGCGTAAGGCGTTGGGGTTTCAGTCGCACTGTGTTGCCTAGACCTACAGGTCAGCTTCCTATTCCTTTCTAGTGCAGCAGAACTCATTTTACTCTCACCGGCGGGAAGGGGGGGGCGACCTGGGACATCGGCAACTTTGACTTTCGGGGCTGTTTAGGGCTGAACAACTAAAATCCCCACGTCTCAAGCCAAACACAATTCTACAAAAGGCATGTGTTTTCTTCTTGTTGAAATTAACGGGGCACACAGTTAGAACATCGGCAGATGCACGGTTGTCCGGTTTGAACCCGAAACAAACCCCCCCCCCACCATATGTTTCAGCCCTCAACCCTTGAAAGTTCCCGATTTCCAGGCCCAACACTTCCCAGGTTTCCCCCCAAACCCCGCTCCCCCGCTAAGATTGCGGTTTAAAGCCGGACAAGCGTGCATTTGCCGATGTTCTAACTGCGGGTCCCGCTAATTGAAATAGGAGGAAAACACATACTTTCGGGAAAAAAACACCTTTGGCGTAAGGTGTTGGGGTTTCAGTCGCACTGTGTTGTCTAGACCTACAGGTCAGCTTCCTATTCCTTTCTAGTGCAGCAGCACTCATTTTACTCTCACCGGCGGGAAGGGGGGGGAACCTGGGACATCGGCAACTTTGACGTTGGGGGCTGTTTAGGGCTAAAACCACAGCTGCAACTAAAATCCCCACGTCTCAAGCCAAACACAATTCTACAAAAGGCATGTGTTTTCTTCTTGTTTAAATTAACGGGGCACACAGTTAGAACATCGCCAGATGCACGGTTGCCCGGGTTGAACCCTAAACAATCCCCCTCCAGATGTTGTAGCCCTCTAGCCTCAACCATGAACAGACCCAAAAGTGTCACGCCTACAAAAACAAGAGCAGTCCGCCCATGGTTTTAGACCTCAATCTGAAAGTTGCCGAGTTTCAGGCACACTTCCCTGGTTCGCACCCCCCCACCCCACCCCCGGTGAGAGTAAAACGAGTGCTGCCGCACTTGAAACGAATAGGAAGCTGACCTCTTGGTCTAGACAACACAGCTGCAACTGAACCCCCCACGCCTTAAGCCAAAACTGATTTTCAGGAAGTATGTGTATTCTTCCAATTTCAATTCACGGGACCCACAGTTAGAACATCGGCAGATGCACGGTTGTCCGGTTTGAACCCGAAACAAACCCCCACCATATGTTTCAGCCCTCAACCCTTGAAAGTTCCCGATTTCCAGGCCCAACACTTCCCAGGTTCCCCCCAAACCCCGCTCCCCCGCTAAGATTGCGGTTTAAAGCCGGACAAGCGTGCATCTGCCGATGTTGTAACTGTGGGTCCCGCTAATTGAAATAGGAGGAAAACACATACTTTCGGGAAAAAAACCTTTGGCGTAAGGCGTTGGGGTTTCAGTCGCACTGTGTTGTCTGGACCTACAGGTCAGCTTCCTATTCCTTTCTAGTGCAGCAGCACTCATTTTACTCTCACCGGCGGGAAGGGGGGGGAACCTGGGACATCGGCAACTTTGACGTTGGGGGCTGTTTAGGGCTAAAACCACAGCTGCAACTAAAATCCCCACGTCTCAAGCCAAACACAATTCTACAAAAGGCATGTGTTTTCTTCTTGTTTAAATTAACGGGGCACACAGTTAGAACATCGCCAGATGCACGGTTGCCCGGGTTGAACCCTAAACAATCCCCCTCCAGATGTTGTAAGTCTCTAGCCTCAACCTTGAACAAACCCAAAAGTTTCAAGCCTATTTCAACAAGAGCAGTCCGCCAGCAGCGTTAGCCCTAAACAAGCCCCAACCTGAAAGCTGCCGATTTCCAGGCCCGGCACTTCCCAGATTACACCCCCCCCCTGCGGTGAGAGTAAATTGAGCGCCGACGCACGAGAGAGGAATAGGAAGCTGACGTCTTACGATCAGGGCAGCTGACACTAAAATGCCCACGCCTCTTCAAAAGGCATGTGTTTTCTACATACATTGCAAACAAAGCCGTCATGTTGCGAGACACCCTGAAACGCAAATCACTGCAACATAAATGCATAGTTGTTCAGCCTTGGTGAGGAAGCAACCCCCTTCAAACGCAGCATGCAACAATGGTTCGCCATAAACAAAAATACCCAGACAAATGTCGCACGCTTAAATATGTTCTAACCCGGGTTCAGTTAGAACATGGATTCACCAAATGATGTTCTAACTTGAAGTCTGTCAATATACCTGTCAGGCCGGTTTCACCCTGTCCCTGATAGTATTGGGAATCTTTAGGTGGATTGCCAGCTGCAATGCAAAAAGTCACACCTGGCCTGGGTGATGGGAAATATGTTCCTTCACCTGGATACCAATGAAAAGAGCTCAAAGTTTGAGGGAATTCATGTTGAAGCATCAACAAATGAAGGCTACCCTGGTAACTGTTGCCCTCATCCCTGTTGCTTCTTTTTGATCCCAGAAGCGCGCTGGTGCCTCCCCACGGCAGTTGCAGCAAAGCCCAACTCCCAAAATCAGAGCTACTGCTTCTGCGGATCGCAGATTCACCCTGTGAAACTGCGAAACCACCGATCGATCCTTCCGCGCCCTGCGAAATACCACTCGTAATTCCCTTCGCACCATTGAGCTTTAGCAATCACAGCAGGGTTGGGCGCAGCATGGTCGTAGAAAATGGCCAGAACCCTCACCTACAGTAGTCATACAACAATAATCATCGAGATTGCTGTTGTTCCAGCCTGGTTGGTAACCATGCGACAGCATGTGTTCCACACGCGTCCAGCTGAAATCTCAGATATTGCTGTGGCATGTATTATTTTGCTCGACATGCATCTTCGCTTGACAGGCGTGCGCCTTATCTGTCGTCTGCTAGCTTCAAAGGTTTGCTCTGTGCAATTTCTCTGGCGATGCCTTCAGCAACGCAAATGTGTGGCAACGGCGCACCTGCGTGCCCCCGGCCGTTGTCCCTTGGAAGGCTTGGTTCAACCGAGTGCCCCTCGGCAGATCGCACCGTAATGCTCACATGTCCAGAGGCAGCGCTTCCCAACCTCCGTCCGCTGAGACAATTAGTTCTGCAATTTTGTCCTTGGCCCACTCCTGGTTTTCCTGTTACAGGGTCCAATTTGGGGAACCGCCATGGAGCCATGGAGTCCAATGTTTGAAGGGACTCTGCGTTCGGGGACCTACTCGGATCCTGCAGCCTCCTGTTAGGCCATCCTGCCCCAGCCCTGCCCTCCTGCCATCCTGCCCCGGCATGTGCATCTGAATCTCTGATCTCTTGTGACCAACTGCGTAAGTCTACCTTCCAGGCAATTCCCCCGACCCCCGAAATGAGGTCAATTTGTAGATGTAACTAATTTGCGGGAGCTGGAGTTGAGTATTTCCTCAGTCTCTATAAGCACCACATCTCCGAGGCAGCGCACAGGCAGTCGGAGCAGCCTGAACCGCAAGCTGCAGAACACCACCCTTGGGATGGTGGTCCCGGATTCAGGTCAACATTGGCAACATCTTTCAGTTCTGCTCCCCCGGCCCTGTCTTTTCAATTCCCTATCCCTTCCCTACACCGCCGTAAAACAGCTGGTTACACAATGGCTTCTGCCAAAATCGCCGGCTACCTCCCAACAACGGGAGGTAAAGCGCCAGAACAAACAGCCCAACGTTTGCACCACTCAAGCACTTGACTAGTGCTCCCCTCGACAAGCCCTGGACAGGCCTCGCATGCGGGCGCCGCACCTGAACTGCATTGCACAGCCAAATGCAGCCAGTCTTGTCTGCATGCCACGGGCCAATTGATAACATCGAAATCAGTGCCGAACAGAAACAGTCACTTGGCATTGTACCTGACAGGAGCAATGACAACCCTGAAAACCAGCACACCGTTGTGCCCATGGCACTTTGACAAACAGCTGAGCTACTGGCTGGCTGCGGGGTTGTCCACCTGCGAAGGGGTGCGTGGAAAGAGTTCTAAGGGGTGATGGCCGCCTGCCGATGGCTAAACCAAGACGGAATCATTGCATAGTGGGCCGTGCCACTCGAACGGAATTTGTGTCAAACCGTTTGCATCGGACAATCACCAATGCTTGCCGTAGGCCAACAACAGTGGAACACAAGGGTGGCTGAGGAGTCAAGGCATTTGGCTTAACATTTGAGCGACTCTATAAACCTTCCATGAATCCCTATGTCGTATCAAGTTGCTTACGCGCGAGCTTGCGCTTTCCTTACGCGACCCATGTTTTAGCTTACGCGGCAGTCAGCGAGCATGTTAAGCTTACGCATGGCTTGCGCGTGGGCGTTCTGAGCGTTTCCCCTCAAGAATTGCTTACGCGAGCTCCTTTTCTCATGCAGACGCCAGAGCTGTTCAAAACCCTGAGGAAGAAGATGACGAAGAACTACCCTCACGAGTCTCAGCGGCTTGGCATTGTTGTTATTGCTGCAAGTCAAGAAACGGGTTATGCGGCAGCGGCATCCATCGCGAGGGCTAGCGGGCAGCCCAGCTAGGCGAGCTTACGCGAACCTTACGCGCCTGCTTACGCGAGCTTACGCGCCTGAGCCCCTTTAGTTTTCCTAGATCAGCGGTTTCAGAAGCCTTTGTTTGTCCTAGTCAAGGTTGCAACAGCACCTAGCATGAGCCCCAAGAGCTCCCAATCAAGGTTCTGCTGGCTTTGTTTTCTTACTGATGTGCACAAGCGGTCTTAGACGACTTCTTGCAGCCAAAGTCTCCGGGCAAGTTGCCAAGCTCGACTAGGTTGCAACAGCACAAGCCACCAATAATCTCATAAGCACAGCTCTTCCGAGCATGCTTACAAAGCTTACCAAGCAATCATGAAGAAGAGCTTACGCAGGTGCTTACGCAGCTTGTTTCCCCAAAAAGTGCTTACGCCGGCTTACGCCGTGCAGGGTTTTGCTTACGCGGCGCCTTGTTATGACACAACTCTTGCTTGGGATGTAACGGGGAGTTTTTAGAGCTGCTCATTTGGGGGTGGTGGCCTATAGGGTCTGCAGGCTGACTGAAAAGCAAACCGTGTGATTAGAAACCGAAACCAAGAAACCTGAGAAGCTTGTTGATTCACAGCGGGGCAACTCTGCGGCTACTGTGCCTCGTCCATGGTTATGTGCGCCCATATGTGTGCGTGTCGAATGCAAGTCTTTTTCTTGGCTCATGTGCATATATATTTCTATATAGATAATATACCCTAGTTTCATACCTGTGACCACGCGCTTGATGAACACAACCATACGTGCTTCCAGCATCCCAATGCCAGCTTGTCAGTCCAAGTTCCACCTCCATGTTCACCTCTGCTGCATGGCAGGCAGCTAGCAGCTCACCTCAAAGGATCCGATACGTGCAAGCCTTCTTCATGGGAAAGAAGGTAGGTGTTTTGTGATTTGTTTTCCAGCATTCTTGCCTTCAGCCCTGCCCCCAGCAACTGGGACACAGCACGAGTCAATTGCAACATTTGGCCCAGGTAAAAGGCGGGCGAAAGGGGGAAGAGTGCAATTGAGCTGATGAGGGCGAATGTGGAGGGATGAGGAGCATGAAAGGATGGATGAGAAGGAGAGGCGGACAAGGGGGACGTCGGGGTGGGGGAAGGCCCAAGCAAAGGACGGACCACGGATGAAATCCAACTCTGCAGCCAGCTCAGCCCCAAATTGCTCGAGCAAGCAGAGTCCAGTACTGGCAGAACGCCTAGTTTTCCCGACAAGGGTGCTTACAACCTCCTGTTAACCAGACTGACATGGGACAGCAGGCTCCAATTGTCATCTGTCTTGACAAATGGCTTGGCTTTCCGGGCAACTGCGTGCAGAATTTTGGTAGGTCTAAGCAGTGGGGGGTTCAACCAATTGGGCCACCACATGGGTTGTGCAACGGGTGTGCAGAATGCCTTTTGCCCTTCCCCCGTGGCTGTCCCTCCCAACTTGTCACTCACAGAGACGCTGGCCATCAGAAATATCATCCTGCACGACGCGCTGCGACATGGCTAGCTGGTCCCCAATTAGTACAATGAAGAAATGTCTACATGCTCTGAACACATGTCCACGTGATCTCTTTTCATATATTACGCCGCAACATAACTGTACAGCTACATGGTTCAACGGGTACAGTTGAATTGAAGTTGAATGCACACAAAGTACATACAGTTCTCGGGGCGGTGTGGCACTCCGGAGGTCAAATGCGCACAATGAACTAAGCGGGAACCCGCTTTGCTGAGCACCTACAGCAACTTCCAATTGCACGCACGATTGCCAAGCATTATTATTATTCTCTCGCACCCGCTCCACCGCCCCACGCCACCGCCGCACCGTGCCCCGCCGCACCATCTTTCAACTACGCACCAAACCTGCCTGCAAAAACACCATACATGTTCCACACGCTCTGTTGGTCACCCACGGTATTGCGTTCCCTCCCAACTGCACACCTGCTCCCGACTTGCACCTGCCGCCTCTACGACTGTGTGCATCACTGGCTTGAATCACTGGCCTGTGCTTGCTGCCTCGGGTACCACGTAGAATTGATCACTGTCAACTGCTTAACTTGAATAGGTTTGATGCAGGTTGAGTGGTGGCCAACCTGTAGATAATATCGATTCATCAGCATGCGGGGTGGCAACTCAGCCCGCGCTCGTCAACAGTAGGCTTGAATAAAGTAGATCACGTTGGGTTTGATTGCAATCATAAACGTAGGCGAACAAGCAAGCAGGCAAGCGAGCACACAGGCCTGCCTGCACGAATCAAAGGGCGGTCGCTAGTATGGTCCACTTTTGCTTTTGCGTCAGTCACTGTATGCCGCCCCCGTGCCTCATCGAAGAAGCTGGGGCCTGGCGAAAAATAGCCGGGCCTTGTTACTTAGGCCAATGGGCGGCCCAAATGTCGTTGCACGACGATTGATCCTTAAATTGGACTGTGCTGCCGGAGGGATTTAAAAAACGTGAGCCTGGTAAACCGTTCGAACAAATGTCAGTTGCGGAAACTTTGTTCCCTACTTGCACTGGTACTAATAGCTTCAACCCTACCTCGAATAGATGGGATACCCATGAAAACCCTAGATTCAGCAAGTCCCAGCTCTAAGCACTTTCAAGCAGGGTTCGCTGTACGCCGCACAAGTTGCAGCACTCAAAATGCATACAATAACAAGTTTGGCCGCCACAAATGCAACAACTGCTGCTGCTAACAGCTGGCAGGCAAAGCTGCCCAACTCATCCCCAAGCAGTCCCGCTGCTAACCGGCTTCATCTGCGCCGAGCTAGCTAGCCCATCTTACGACAGGCGGCAACCATCAACATCCCGCTCTTTCGCTTTGGAAGCCTAGCCAGAGCACCCTTGCCAGCACAAAGGATGCCTAGTGCATTGCGCCCTTGCCCAAGAGAAGCTTCCAAGATGAAGCAGAAGGAACCGAGCGCCGCCGCTGGAGCTCTTTTGCCACTCTTGTTTTGCCTTCGCAGCCGGCTTGTGCCTTTGAAACCGTGGGGCTCAACATGTCCTTGGACATGGATCCCAGCTCCCGGATGCCACCTCGCGCCAATTAAGTGCCAAATGGGTGCCGTGGCCAAATGGGCAGTGGTTTTATTTGGTTTTTTGGGCAGGTAATGCTGATGACGCATTGTACGCCTACGCCGGCGCCTACGCCATGTGCAAATACCATGCGGCGCGGCCTACGCGAGGTGTACGTCAGCCTTAAAACGCTTATTCGCGCCTACGCGGTTGGAGTCTTTGCTCTCAAAGTGCCTACGCGGTGCGCGTTTCGTGCTGAAACTCGCACGCGCGAGCTGACGACGACAGCACGCTGACTGGCACAACCACGGCTTTCTCAGCAGCAGGCTTCTTCTCAGCGCGAGCTGGACGAGCTATCAGAGGACGGCTGCCACTAGAAGAAGAAACGGAGGCAATGGCTTTTTGCAAAGCCTCGTTCTTTTGGCGCCTTTTCGCCGCACACTTTCTGAGCCTGGCGGCAGCACGGGCAAGCAGGGAACGAGCGCCATCAGCATGCATCATTGCCGGCGCTGGGAAACTTTTCTGCGGCATGTGCCTTCGCACGATTCTGGGAAGGCGGCATGAGATAGTGAACAGATTCGACTTGCGAGCAAAAGCTGCGGAAGTGTGCGTTGCACACAGGCAGCCGAAGCTGTGGCAGCGTACAGGGCATGCAAAAGGAAGAGCGTCCTCCCGGAGCAAGGTGGCTCTGCGCAAGGAGGACGAGCCACGAAATCGGGCTACTGCCTACGCGAGGGCCTACGTAAGGCCTGCGCGGAAACCGGCTGAGTTTTCAAGAAAAAGCGCCGAAAGCAAGACGGGGCTAACTAACCTACACATCCTGCCAGTCATAATCCCTTTCAACAGGTAGAAGCAACAAAAACAAGTAGGCAAAAGGCTTGTAACCCTGCAACCTACAAGAAAGCGAGACCTGAATCTGCCCTTCTCTCTGCACATTCCCATGTCTCTGTTTGTGTCTTTCTTTCAACGGGCAAACTGACAAGTCGAGCCTCCGCGATGCCTACGCGAGAAGCTCCCGCGCCAACTGTCAAAAAGTGGCTACGCGCGCCTACGCGCGTGCAGTAAGATTCCTACGCGGGGCCTCATGTGTCCACTCTCCTTTTGTCCCTTTGCTACCATTTAAACAAAACAACTCTGCTCAAATGAGGAAAACGGGAGTGAGAGAGAACCCGTGAGTTGCCATGATTTGCCCCGTGCCAATTCATCGGGCTGTCAACATAGTCAACTTGAAACCTCCGTTTCCTGGCAGCAAAGCCCGATCCCCTGCAAGCAGGGGTTTGGGATGAAAAGGTGGGGTCCTGTGAGAGCGTGCTAACATTATCTTAGCTCCACTTTCGGAGTGCGTGCAGCAATTCCTGATACTCACCTAGACTACATCAAGACTCTCCGCAGGCTTCGCCTCTCGGAAAATCGGGCGAGAGCTTCCAGCTCATTTCATGACCCAGACGTCACCATCATTCCATGTAATGGTGCATTGGGCATCAAAACAGGTGACCCCCACGTAGCACCGGCCTTGCACTTCAATCTGCACCATACTGGAGCCAACTTCCTGAACTTTCGACCACTCCAACTCCATATCCCAGGCTTTGTTCCAAATAATGTGGCCTGCAAAAACCTCCCCGACCGCTGTGCCGTCGGATTTCCGAAACCACCCCCCCTCCAACCTCTGGACCAAGGCATGACTGCCGTCCGCAACCGCCATGTCCGTAATAGACAGCGACTCTTCGGGATAGCCGTACACATCGTAGGGCTCCGGTCTAGAATTCATCAAAAGCGGGTGGTCAGCATCGCCCCCGCAACACCTCTGGACCGGTCGGCACGAAGTCCCTGCGCTGGGCGAGCAGCTTGCCCCCATGGCTGCATCGGGATGGTAGCAGCCTGCTCTTGGCCGGCAGTTCCTCCCTATACTCAAGTTGGGTGAAGGTGAACCTGGCAAATTCTACTGGCTGCTGCGCATATTTGCTCACACTCTTGCTAGCTCAAATGCCAGGGCTGGGTGCTGCGCAACTTGAGCCCAGCTGCCCATTTGCAACATGAATCTTGAAATTAGCACAACCAAATGATGGCCTGAGGACACACAGATGGATCAGGACACACAGATGGATCATCTAGGTAACACGTACCGTAGACGGCAACCACTGCATTGGGAAAGCCAGGCTTTTGGCCAACGCACCCTCCAAGCGGCACATCCTAACAATCCCCAGCCCCCCCTTCCCCCTAGCCTGGGCCTGGCCCTGGCAGCAAGTCACCAGCTGCCTGAAGGCACCCCGACAGCATTGCTTGCAGAGGTGTCCTTTTGGGGCAAATAGATGGCCCTGGTAGATGATTAAACCACCCTTTATCTATTTTTCGACCAAAATAACCAAAAAGGACACCTATGATTGCTTGGTACAGGGAATGGGGTTGATGTGGGTTGTTCGCATACAACTGGACAAGCTACGATTGAGCAGGTCCAAAATCGCGTGAACTCGCCCAGCACGGGCAGCTCGGCATACGTGAAAGGCAAAAACAGCCGCATCAGGCCAGCGCAATTTGCAGCCCTTCCAAAATAGACTCCCAAATGAATCTTCCACCCTGCCTCCCATGCGGGGAGCAGGCCGGCGGTCGCAACATCGTGCATTTGGTCCTGTCCCCCGGGAGTCGACAAAAAAAGCTGGCAAGGAGGGCGTGCCGGACATGGCCTGCTCCTTTTTTTTTGACATTGAAGTCTGCGGCATGGGCCGGCTATTAGCTAACTCTTGTTGTTCCACTGCATCAAGCACTTCTGCTTGCGAACAGTGCCACGGCTGCAATGTGTGTGTGTGTGTGTAACTGCCCTCAACCGCTGGTCATTTGCCAGATTCCTAAAACGCGGCGCCGTGCCTCATCCAGAGACAGCTGCCGGGCCTTGGACTATGCTGACGCTTTGCTTGCATTTCTCTCCGTGCAATCTCTCACATCCTGGCAAACTTGTGGTCGTGAAACTTTATCTGTGCAATCTCTCAGGCGAGTAACATCTCTCTGTGCAAACTCTCAAGCGATCTTGCGATGTTTTCTTGGGAAGCAGGACGGAACTTCAACACTCACCAGCTGCAAAGATTGGATCAACATCAAACAATTCTGGCCTTGTGCTGATGCTACCAGGGCCACTTGAATGTCGGCTCGCAGTGTGTTTACAGGACGCACGCCCTTCTGTTTCTCTACATTTCTTGTTCTCTTTTTTATCTCTCCTTGTCTTCCTTGCTCTTCACTCACCGTTTTGTGCGATTGCAAGCGTTGCTTCCTGAGACCTCAGCAAAACTTAAGCAGATTGGACATTGTGGCTCATATGTAATGGTGTGCTATGGTGTGCCATGTGGCGTCATTGTGCTTCGTGCTGCTTATTGTGTGTGTACGTCCTGCCGCGCCACACATCATCCAGAACAAGATTTGCGGCCTCAAACAATGCTTGCGGCACGCACCCAACGCTTTGGCTTAGACACGCGGCGATCTTGACAGAATCACGTTGGTGCTTGCTGGTGAAGGTCTGTGCTCCTGGCTTGGCTGCAATCAGAGTAGCGTTTTCCAAACCCGCAGAAACATGCGGGCCCAAACTGTTCACAAAAACGTGAGAGGTCAGCAAATTCTGATGGCCATGCTGGTATGCTTCAACAACACACACACACACATGCCAGCTGCAGACACTGGAGTAAGTTGACCCAGCAGCCCCGATCTCTTGCAACGAGGCCCCGCGCTGCAGTTTGCACCGGCATCTCTGCTGCCTGCATCACCTGTCAATCCAACTATTCTGGTCTTGTGCTTGTGCCACGGCCACTGGAATGTCACCGGCAGCTGTTTGCGGACATGCTCCTGTGGAAAGTTGACATCACGCATGTCTTGTCGTTTCCGCTCACTCTCTCTCTGTCTTGCGCTCTCTCTTTTTTCTTCTCTCTTTTGTTTATCTGTATCTATTTCTCTCTCTCTCTCTCTTTCTCTCTATCTCTCTCTCTGTTTCTCTCCTCCAATGTACAATGACAGGAATTCTTTCGGATGGCTTGCTAACACTTGTGCAAATGTGAATTACCTCGCCCAACACTTTGGTCATTGTGGGTCATAACACAAGGAGTATCGCGATGCGTCATAGCGTAAGGTATCATGTTTTTGTGCTGCATCATTGTGTATGCGTCTCATGCCATGCCACGCCTCGTCCGGAACGGAATTTGGGGCCTCAAGTGACAGGCAGAAACATGCGTGCCAGTAGGCAAAGGGTTCACCAAACAGTGAGAAGCCGGCAGGTTCTGATGGCCACGCTGGTATGTTTCAACAACACGCACACATGCCAGCTGCAGAAACTTGAGTAAGCTGAGCCATCAGCCCCAGTCTCTTACAACGGCCGTCTGTGCCCCGCGCTGCACTTTGCACCGGCGCCCCTGCTGCTTGCATCACCTGTCTGTCAAACTAGGATTCAATGTCACCGGCCAGCTATTTGTTGACATGCTTCGTGATAACTGGACGTCAGGGAATAAGTGATTGCAGCGCGCATATGGTGATGTGGCACAGTGCACCATCAGAGGCATTGGCTGTTCGTACCAATGAATAGTCTTATCGTGTGTGTGTGTGTGTGTCTGTGCCGGGCCCCTAATCTTCGGACACGACCTTGTTGGACGTCAATGGAGTTGTCACCCACCGATGGTGTCCGTGACGAGGATGGTCGGCGGCGCGAATAATGCTTGAGCGTGCAATGAGCTGAAACTCCTTGCCCTGGCAGACACCCTCAAGCTGTGCTTCCAGATTTGCACCCGAGTTGATATTGGTTGTGAACATGCGAGATGATCAGAACGTGTCTTTGGCTCCATCCCGACCCACGACGGCTATTGCTTGCTGTGTCCCTGTTAAGTAGCCAGAGCGAAAGAAGCTCGACCCGACCGCACTTGACCACTCGGTGTGCTTCACTCGACTCCGAAGTCTAAGTGTGTGTCCTGCCGAAGTCTAAGTGTGTGTCCTGCCAGGCCACGCCTCGTCCGGAACGGGATTTGCGGCCTCAAACAATGCTTGCAGCACGCACCCGACGCTTTGGCTTAGACACGCGGCGATCTTGACAGAATCACGTTGGTGCTTGCTGGTGAAGGTCTGTGCTCCTGGCTTGGCTGCAATCAGAGTAGCGTTTTCCAAACCCGCAGAAACATGCGGGCCCAAACTGTTCACAAAAACGTGAGAGGTCAGCAAATTCTGATGGCCATGCTGGTATGCTTCAACAACACACACACATGCCAGCTGCAGACACTGGAGTAAGTTGACCCAGCAGCCCCGATCTGTTGTAACGAGGCCCCGCGCTGCAGTTTGCACCGGCATCTCTGCTGCCTGCATCACCTGTCAATCCAACTATTCTGGTCTTGTGCTTGTGCCACGGCCACTGGAATGTCACCGGCAGCTGTTTGCGGACATGCTCCTGTGGAAAGTTGACATCACGCATGTCTTGTCGTTTCCGCTCACTCTCTCTCTCTCTCTCTCTCTCTCGCTCTTTTTGGCAACTGCAAATTACGGCGCGCAACAGCTTGGGCGCTGTGGGTTTTGGAGTATCGTGATGCGTCATGGTGTGCCGTAAGGCATGATTTGTTCGTTCGTTCCATTGTGTGTGTCCTGCCTCGTCCGGAACGGAATTTGTGGCCTCAAGCACTGCAATCAGAATGCAGCCAACGCTTTGGCTTAGGCAAAGGGCAATCTTCACAGAATCCTGCGCGCGCGCTGCTGATGGTCTGTGCTCCCGGCTCAGCTGCTTTACAATCAGAGCGCTGCTTCGCAAAGCAGCTGAAAAACAGTAATATGCACGCCCAAACAGTTCAGCAAAACTGGCAAAACTGGCGAACCCGATTCCATGCAACACCACAGGTCGTGCCGTCTGTGGCCCCACGCTGCACGTTGCACTGGAGCCTCTGCCACCTGCATCACCTGCCAATAAGAGCTCATGCTCTAAAGCCAGTGGCGAATTCTGCAACCAGCGTTCCATGCTCTGCCCTGTCATGCCGCAATGCTGCAGGGCCGACAAAGCCAGCTGGCCAAGAAACCATATTGAATCCTGGCACTAATGACCGAACTCAGCATTACATTGTTGATTCAACTGTATATGAAGCACGGTCTTTTCGTGCAAGCTTCCAGGTTCAAGATACAAAGTTGGTATTCCCATTTATGCAGCACAGCAATAGCAACACCACCCAACAACAACAAGCCAAGCAAGCAACCAAACAAATGAAGCGAACCACGCCAAGCCAACCCCACCCACATCCACCCACCAACCGCGGACAACAAGCATCACGCGTCAAGCAATAAACAAACAACAATCAGCAAAAACAAACACAGCAACAACAGCAACAACAGCCGCAAAAGCAGGGGTCCAAACACACTACCCATCCACACCAGCTAGGGGTGACCTCCTTTGGGCCGACCGCCGTCCATAGTCCGCCAGCCAGAGGTCTCTTTGCTTCTTGCGGCACATGCCGAAGAAAATCGGTGCTTTGCACGGTCCAAGTTTCGCGGTTGCCCCGCGCACCCACTTGCGTAGGTCCCTTCGGGAGCACGATCAAGTCAAGGATTGCACAGGCATACCCTGGCAAACCACCAACAATAGCGTACGGACCTTGCGGGCCTGAGTGGCGCCCCCTCATAGCCCCCAATGACATCTAATCACAGTCCCCAAATCGTCCAAAGCCAAGAAACGTTCAACTCAGCTCAGCAATGCTGCCACCCCGGGCGTCGGCAAGGTACTTGCCTCTCTTTTTTTTAATAATGCAAACGGTCGTGTGCCAAAATCTCTACTTTGCAGAGATGGTCAGCATCGATCTGAATTGGGGCACTCGACGGATACACTGCAGGCTGGGAAACGGCTTCTGGCTTTGTGTCAATCAAGCCCGGAAGCACCAGCCAAACAATCTTGAAACAAACATCATCATCCCCATTGCCTTCAGAATGTCAACTGCACCACTGCAGACTTTGGAAATGAATGCAATGGGCAGGTGCATTTGAAAGAATTTGGGTCATGTTCTAATCCCTTTGCAATTGTCTCGATTTGAGCTTGGATTTGTTGCTGTTTGTGCGTTTGGGCATGAATCAGGGCACACTCCGCGCCCCATGCCTGGGTGGCTGCCCCGCCAGCTAGCCCAGCATGGATTAGAAAAGTAGAGACGACACAAACCTGGAAATTGCCGAAGTTTCCTGCAAGGAACAGTGCTTCAAAGCACGACGGATCCTCATTTTCTCCGAAGCTGGGACCTGCAACTATTGCAGCAGAACTGCCACAGCTTCCATCACGACTTCTGCATCGTAGGTAAGGCGCATCACCAAAAAGCGAATCTTGAACCGCCAAAGCAAGGCAAGTGAGCAATACCAAACATTGTTAGGATGGTTAAGCTTGTAGGACCTATTGAGATTGCCATGCTTCGCTTGAACTTTTAAAATACCTTGAAACGCCTTTTCGGCCACAACAGCGGAACATGTAATTTTGAGACCAGTGTCCCGGTGCGGTAAAACGTAACTTCAAACGTAAAGCTTTGCGCCAATTTGCTGCAAGGACAGCGCGCATGCTGTGGAGACCCATCTGACTGCTGCCAGGGCGTCCAGCAGGTCCCACTAGGCTGACACAGCTCCTCAGCTCCGGTGGCTGGTTGAACCGACCGATACAGAAGCCAAGCAAGCCAAACACAACTGATTCCATGGGCGTATGCTTCGAATAGTCAACATAGTCAACATCTCTAATTGTTTTAAGCGACACCACGGAGTGGGGGGGCTGCAAGATCTGTTCAAGACCAACAGCTACAGTTTCAGAAGAAACTGGGGTCAGACGGAAACTCAGAACCATGACTACCGAACCATAACAAACGGCCGAACATGAGTAATTAGCAGCCCTGCAAAGGATGCCAAAGGCAAAAGCGGCACAGGAACCCGCGAATGTCTCCAAATCAGAACCACAACACATGCTGGCAAATGCTTCGCCAGGAAAGCGCCACCCTTCTACCGTGGCCCGAACGAGGCTCCTTACCTATAAAATCAAAACCGTCCCTCAACACAATTCATGTACATCGTGTCTCCCAATACAAGGGACATTACCAATGACATTGCCTAGACGCAAGTTGGTGTCCGTGTCCTGACATTTCGAAAAGCCAGCCATCTCAAGTATGCCAACACAACGGATCTGCAAATCATTCAACTAGAGTGCATCCCAAAAAGGCACCGCGCCGCGTACGCATATGCATATCGGCCAACTCCCGGGTGGATATGCGCGCCCCTATATCTGCGCGCGCCGATATCCTCCCCCCAGACACCTTCCTGATGGACGTCGGTGCGCAAACCGATAGCCGAACACTCCCCAGCCCCCCCCCCCCCCTGGAAACGTCGGTGTGTCAGAACGTTAGCTGCAGAGCATCCTGTGGATACCGACGTATCCGAGATACCGGCTGCAGGGTCCAACAAAGCTGCGGGGGGAACTGCCAGTGGTATATCGGTACATCGAAGCGCGCGGATATCTGCGCGATGTCCCTTCGAATTCTTGGGCTGGCCCGGAATGGATACTCGGTGTATCGGTGTATTGGCTGCATTCAAGAGAAACTAAAAAAAGTGTGTGTAGCTGGGTCCAGAAGAGTTGGCGGGGTGGTATCTTGGTCTACCAGTCGCGAGGCCAACATCCGGACGCCTGCGCTCAAGAAAGCGCACCCAAACTCCAAAGATTCCGAGTGATGCGGGGGGCAAGGGCGCCAGACAGCAGTTCTGAATAAACTTCTCTGATCAGTCCTCTACATAACAGATCATAGGAAGTGTCTGGTTTTTCAAGATGCGTAGACCTTGATGACATGTTTTACTTCACAAAAATCAGACATTCTTCGCGCACACGTTTCTCAAACATGGAATTCGAACATACTCATCTCATTCTTTACTTACACAGCTAGTCATTCAGAATTCACATCTTCTATAAAAATTAAAAAACGAATCGGCATCATTTCATTTGCCTAAACAATCAGAAGTTGTGAGTCCATTCTTTGCCGTTAAAGCACGGCCTGCCTGGTTGCTGTTTTTGAACACTCAAACCTTTGCTATGCTGACAGTGTTATGATTCATCTACTAATAGTTTCCCAAGAATTTGCACTCAATAGCGTGTTAACAAGCATGCTAAGATTTGCCTAGCCAAGTACCATTAGGTTTTTCTAAGGGCCGACCTTTGTTTTCGGGATTTTTCCCAGCGCTCTTTGGATTTTGTATCCGTTCCATTTTCCGGTCACCTTTGGAGCGGTTTAAGGTGGGTCTCGGGCGCGCTTAAGGCTTAGGGCGGTTCGGGGTTCCGGGTGGGCCTGGTTTAGGGAGGGTGTGGCGCGGGTTTGGCTGGCGGGGGTCAGTGTTGGTTGGGTTTAGGCTTAGGGTAGGCTTTGGGTGCTGCGCCTGCCACGAAAGCTGCGTGCGCCACTTTGCACATCCTTGCCACTGGAATTTACGATGTGTCCGCCCAGCATTGCGAAAATCCTGCGCCTGCCACGCAGTGTGTACTTGACCTTGCGAAAATGTCGCACCTACCATGACATCAATACCTCGGCTGCCAAAGTGCTGCGCCTGTCACTCAAAACTGACCTTGAGACAAGTGCGCGCGTCCGTGCCAACGGTCCCCCGTCCGCACCCGGAACGGGACCGTCCCGAACAGGCGCCGCTGCTAATCTACATCTGACTTCCTGCACCCTGCCCCGCTTTTGCGCATTCTCTATCTTTTCGCGCGCTCAGACAAGATGCATAAAAACTGCCCCTGCCACGAAATCTGCACTTCTAATATACTTCAAGTCTCTTCCTAATCATCGCCTATCCTTCAATTAGTTTCCATACCACGGAAGTTCCTTCTAAACTTCCTTTGATACAGTTTCTGTGAGTTCTTTGGTCAGAATCTTTGTGGATTCTTGCAGAATCTGTACATGGAAGATCTGCTGAGTGGACCTCTACGCAGGACAATATGTCGGATCTCTGCAAAGATTTCTCTTGACAGGATCTGTGCGTAGGATCTCTGTAGGATTTCTTGATAGGATCTTTTGGCAAGATTTGTGTGCAGGATCTATGAGAGGACTCTCTTTCTATTGGGGGTCTCTGTCAGGATCTGCAAGATCTCTTGGAAGAGTAGGTGTCTCTGCCGGGCTGGTGTGTTTGTAATTTGCGCGGCGCCACAGCGGGGGCGATCCGAGCCACCTAAAGTGCAGCTCGTTGTTTTACAAATTTATTGCTAAGATTGGTCCAGCATTCTCTGCTTTAAAACAGGCTTCTGAAATCAGAATGGCATAGATAAGCTTAGCAAGTCCAAGCTTCTGCTTCTAAGTTCTGGCGTGTTCCAAGCTCCAAGCTTCTACCTATTTATAAACTAGTACAAGTGCCAAAAGTACCTATAAGTCCAGATTTGAAACGACGTGGCGTTTCGCGTTTTACGAAACTTCATGTTGTAAACAACCAATAGCCGGACGTGCCGATATCCGGACGTGCCAATATCTCCCCCAGACGGTCCCTGGGTGGATATCGGTGCATCGGTGTACGAAAGTAGCACGCGAAGTGCGCTCCCGCTGCTCCAGCTGCAATATTGCAACGTCTAAGCACCAAAAGTAGCACGCGAAACGTGCTCCCGGCTCGACATTCGCAAGTACAAAAGTACGCGAGGAGCATTCCCAGAGCTCCGGCTTGGAATTCGCACCTTTTAGTACCAAAGTTGTGTGCAAAGTGCGCTCCCGCCTGCTCAACATACGAGCCTGGATCATTAGAACCGGATTGTGGGGTACTTAATTAAAACCAATCTGAGCCAACATGCGATATGACGCCCACCAACATGTCTGATCGGTTGCTTTCTCCTGGAAACCGTTTGCTTTCTCCTGGAAACCGTTTCCACTTCTTGCCAGCACTTACTTGGAATTGGGTGTGTGTCGGAACGAAGGTCTTTCCAC